ATGCCACTGAACACCAGACAGTGCTTTGGATCGATCTCCAAGCTCTCTCTGTATCTCACAGAGACAAGTGTCTTTCCCCTCTTGGTTTCACATCTTTGTGGCTGGTATCCCATTTGTCACTAATCTGGGCATGGTTTTGTACAGATTATCCCATGAGATGTTGGCTCTGCCTCATTCTACCAGGAAAATTCTGCCATTCACTATATTACTGGTTGTATCCTTCATTGAGTCACCCTTAACTCAAAGACATATGCTAAAAACCTTCATCAGATTATTAGAAATTAATCAACAACACCAATATACCCACTGTTGACATCTTCCACCTTCTTTAGTTAAGGCAATAGCAGGCTTTTTTTCTGGATGCAGACTTCTTTCTCCTCAACCCAATAAACTTAGTTTTCCTCTTACTCAATCCCAAGGGGTATTTGCAAACTGTATACTCTAGGGGTTTTCTATTCATAGCAAAGTGTGTACGTAGAGGGGAGAAGAATCATTACCTTGTCTATCGGTGTGACACAAGAACTCAGAGCCCGTCTGCTTCTCCCTTCTGAGTCATAGGTAAATGGCATAGGAGGCATGCTGAGGTCTCATCCTCATGATCTCTGTCTCCCACCCCCTTCAATTCCCAACACTTTTTCAGGTACACAGATTTAATTTGGATTGCTTTAACTTTTCATACAGGAAAATGTGAGGTCATCTCTTATAAAGTACAAATGTTACATTCTCCTTGTCCTGCCCAAGTGGCCAGAGAAGAATGCATAGGATCTCCTAGGTAGGTATTATTCCTTAATCTCTGCATTCACCTTTAATGCTGCCCATACTTTTGACTTGCCCCCCAATTATTAGCTGGCTCCCAAACTTTCTGGGTAGAGTACAGCCACCATATTTCCTTTTACCTCCTCCAAATAAGCTTGTTGTTGATTCTAATGAAGGTATGCCCATACATATGTAGTAGAGATTCCTGCATTCAGCAAGGTGTTTACTTCTTAGGTCCATTCCATTTCTGAGGCTCTGTGAATCTGTGAGAGGTCAAATGGAATGGTGACTCAGCAGCACCTTGTGGTGTTCTTTCTGCCAGGAAATTCTAACGCAGACTCCCTGAGGCATGAGCCTACAAATGACAGTACTTACTTTGGATTATGCAATATGAAACTAGGACTGAGATGCCTGGAAAAGTTATGTGGTTTTTCTAAATGCTTTCATTCCCACATTTGTAACATTAACTCCCCTCCATCTAGGATCATGGGAACATGTAACACTAATGAATCTCTCTCTATCTAGGACCATTATTAGTAGAGGATACCCTGGTGACCACCTACTGCTATCCTATCATTTGTGAAAAACTGAGAGTCAGAGAAATGAAGGGACCTGCGCAAGACAATAAAGTTAGTTAGTCGTACATCTTGGAAGAGAACCGTCTCCTGATTCCCCTCTGACATAATACAGTCATAGATTTAGAACTGAAATTAACCTCAGAGGGCATCTAATCCAATTTGTTCATGCTGTGGATGAGAAAACTGAGGTCCGTTGAAGTCAAGGGAATTGTCCAACATCAGAAAGGAGACAACTAGAACAGAGAAAACTTTGCAGTCATAGTCTCATAGCTACAGAAAAAGAAGGGGATTGCAGAGACTAGCTAGTCCAACATCCTCTTTTTATGAATGAAGAAATGGAGGCCCAGGGAGGTTAAATGATTGGCCCGAGGTCACACAGGTAAATATTAGAAGTGGAATTTGAACCCAAGCTCGCCAATGACAGATGCAGTCATTTTTCTTTCCACTTTGTATAACAGAGGTACTATGCTTTGCCCCAGAGACAGAACTAGGACCAATGTGTAGAAAGCAACATGGCACAATTAAAACACTTGATTTGTAGTCAGAGGGCCTGAATTTGAATCCCATATCTTGCCATTTTGGTAGATCTTGCCCTAATAGTATCCTGTTTGACTCTGGATAAACCTCTTTTCCTTTTTGGCCTGGGCCTCAGTTTCCTCATCTCTAAAATGACTAGACCGCTGAATTCTCTTTCAGTTTTAAGTCTATGATCTTTGAAGTATGAAACAGGCAGATTTACACTTGACATGAAAAAAAAATTAGAACTAGTAAATGAAAACATAATTTGTTATGTTACTATGGAAGAGGCACACATAGATTCAAAAAAAATTGCTTCACAAATACAAGTCATGGAATGAATGCTTAGATAGCATGTTTTTTTTTTCCTGAAAAAGGTGGGGATTTTAGTGGACTGCAGGCTCAATATGAATAAACAGTGTGATATGGCAATCTAAAATGCCATCATGTGGTAACAGATAACTGACGTGATCAGAACCAGAACAATTTGCGCTACAAAAACAGTGATGTAAAAACAAACAGCTTTGAGAGACAAAAATTCTGATCAGTTAAATAACCAACCTTATTTCCAGAGGACCAAAGATGAAGTATACTAACCACTTCCTAACACATAAATATAGATTTTAGAATGAGACATTATTGGACATGGCCATCATGGAACTTTGTTTTGATTAACTATGCCTATTTGCTATGAGGGTTTTCTTTTTCTTTTGGGGGAGGGGCAGATAAGGAGAAAATATATATTCCTTAATTTTAAAAGGTTTAATAAAAAAGGCTGATGTCATTTCAAGAGAGGCATAGCTTCCAGAATTAGAGAAATTAAAATGTCATGCTCTGTCCTGGTCAGATTACACATGAAGTACCATGTTCAGTTTTGGCACCTGGCACCTCAGTTTAGATACGACTAAGTTTGAGGGCATCCAGAGGAGAGCAACCAGAATGGTGGGCAACGCCACAGTTTATCGCTGGTCTCATACTCATCATCTTGGCAGTTGGGTGGTACCTGCTCAAGCTTGTGTTCTGCAGGCGTTGCCTTAAAATTCCACAGTCACCTCCATATCATATTGAGACAGCAGACTCTTGTGGACCATAAAAGGACGAGTTCTAATCATGGGGAACAAAGGAAAGAAAATAGATGGATGATCTAAGTATGGTGCCCTAGAAAGGCCTCCAGTGCACTTGATGAATTTAATATGGAAGATTTACAGAAGGACATGGACAATAGTTACATGTGATGGAAAGTCTGAAGTATTGGAGCTCTGTATTGGTGGAAAAAGTATTCACACTTAGAAGATTACAAATCCATGTGAATATTTCTATATACCCTTCTGTGGTCATATTCCAGCCATTAATCTTATCCTGCAAAATCTCTATGATACTTGTAAAGTCATCACTGTGTTAAGATTTCTACTTTGGTTCACAGTCACACTATTATGGCAAAAAGGTGGAAACCAATTATTTACCCAAAACGTAAGCAATGGTTGAGTACATCAACAGTAGATGAACATGCTATAATCCTATTGTACCACCAAAAAAATAGGGAAAATTCAAAGAATATAGGGTGACATATAAAGTGAAGTATGATCAAAGCAAGTCTAAAGAACAACACACATACTAACTACACCTGTGAAAATTAAGAAACCATTGCGTAGCATTAAAACCCAGGTTAAATACAGTCGGCTACATTGAGACAACCTTGCTAAAGTTGAAAATGCAAGCTTCCTCCTTTAAAAAGAAACATGATGAATTACAAAATTTGGCTGAATGTTCAATTAGTCACAGTCACTCTTCTGTGTTGTTCTGCTTAAGTGCTTTTTTTTTTAATATGTCCCCATTTCTTCTTGGTTTGCATATTCATCTGTTTTGTTAAAAAGAAAATATTGCTGGGGCAGCTAGGTGGCACAGCGGGTACAGCACCAGCCCTGAAGTCAGGAAGACTTGAGTTCAAATCTGGCCTCAGACCAAACACTTGACACTTACTAGCTGTGTGACCCTGGGCAAGTCACTTAACCCCAGTTGCCTAAAAAAAAAAAAAGAAAGAAAGAAAAAGAAAATATTGCTGCCCCACAGACAGCCAAAGTCATTTCTTACATCTTACCTTGCAAATTTACATATATATGCATGAGGCTATGAGGGGTGTTTCTCTCTCTTCTTGGATAGTTTCCTGTATATTCCTAGGCCTGTTTATTGATATTCTTTCTATGTATATCTTGTATGTAGTTAATAATAATAGCTCATAGTGGTTACTCTGTGCCAGATACTGTGCTAAGTGCTTTACAATGATTATCCTACGTGATCCTTATAATGACATAATACCTATTTTACAGATGAAGAAACGGAACCAAAGGTTGTGACTTGCACTGGGTCACAGAGTCAGTAAGTGTCTGACAGTGGATTTGAATTCAGGTCTTCCTGCCTCCAGGCCCTGTGCCACCTAGCTGCCTCTTTACTTGTTTATATGTTATCTCTCCCATTGGACTGTGAGCTCCTGGAGAGCAGGAATTTTTTTTTTTTGCCTTTCTCTGTATCCCCAGTGCTTAGCATGGGGCCGAGCATATGGCAAGCACTTAATAAATGCTTGTTGATTGATTAATTGATCATAACTTAAAAGATCAAAGGGTAGCATTTGCTGAATTGAGGGAGCTTAGAAATTATACATGCTTGACTCTCTTGTTGGCTAGCTCACCTATCCTTCTGAATTACCATAGTGCAAACCATGCGTCCCCTGCAAGTCCTCACTTGATGAATCACTGATACTATTGTAGATAGCAAGCACTCTGCCTTCAACATACTTGTAACTGGGAAGGCAAAAGTCAAGTGAAAAAAATCCCTAACCCTACTAAATATATACTAGAAAAGCTGGCATGGTATCATAATCATTCAGACAAAAACAAGGTAGGTTAAGAAAACGCCAAAACTGTGTTTTTACATTAGTGAAACACACACATCAAAAGAAACATTTTTTTAAAACAGCAAAACTTTATGTATATATTAATGTTGAGGGCTGGACTAGAGTTTAAGAAAAAAAAAAGAAAAAAAGGAAAACAGTGTATGAAACAGAGTCCTGTACAGAAAATATGAGGAAGGGAGAAAGATGCACACACATACACATACACACAAGATGAAGGAAGGTAGGCTGGGCAGCCAGAGTCAAGGCTCTTGGCTAGTCACCTGCTTCATGTAGGTTTCCAGCAGGTACTTTTTAAAGACTGTGGAATTTGTCCAAAGTTCAGCAGCATGTGTGTTCAATGTGCTGTCAATGTTGGGTTCTCCCAGCAGGCTCTGGATAGATAACAGGATGGTCCTGACATCATACAGAGCTGACCGCTTGTCCTTGAGGATGTCCAAACAGATATTGCCTTGGGTGTCCACTTTAGGATGGTAATAAGGTGTGACAAATTTCACAGTGGGAGCATTATATGGGTAAGCACTGAGTAATTCCAGGGACAGCTTGTACCTTAGGTCTTCACATACTGTCCCAGCTGCCCCATGGATGGTCCCAAACCACTTGAAGAGATTGTCTGACACTGGGAAGGCAGAAATTCCTTTGTCTCCAGACACCATTAGGGTCATCAATTCCTGCTGTAACCTCTTGCCCATGGACTGCTCTGCCCCTTTACAGGCTGCAGGGGTGGTACTGGCAGTGGCCAGGTCACGGTTCTGCAAGGCCATGGAGGGCCTGAGATAAAGGAAGAGAAACTCCCTGGGGGCAACTGCCAAAAGAAATATTTCTTTAAAAGATTAGTGCAAAAATCTCACAACAGTTGCCATTTTTGCTTCTTAGCAAATTTCTCATTTTCTTCTGTTATTAATATGAAATCAACCCATCCTATCTCATTTGTAAATGTGTTTGAAAGAGAAGTTGTTTTATTTTCGAAGTTGTAATCAATAATCTCAAAAATAGAAAATACATTTGGAAACCAGACAATGCACTTGTTGTTAAGGGGAGCTCTGGGATCATGGTAGAGAAAACCAATGAAGGTGTTCCAAGTCAAGCTCAGTAGCAGCAATTGGTATTTATTTGTCCCTCTGAGTAGGAATCTTGAGCTTACTCTCCCTACCACAAGGCCCATTATGAAACAAGGCAGTGAAAGCTGTCTGGATTTAATTGAGGAAGAAATAATAACCTATAGCCTGATCTGCTATAGGTGACATTTGCCCCATTCACTAGGGAGCAGCTCTTTAAAGGGTTTTGAGAAACAGCAGCCAAGTACAAGAATTTAATAGCTGCTCAGAAACATTTGGGATGATCGAGATATACGACCATGTTGTAAAACAAAAAATAAAATCAAAATGGAGTTAATGTTAAGCCTTATGTTCAGACAATGTCTTGGTTAGATAGAGAATTGTGTCTTTTGTCTTTATTCATAAGAGTTGTAGATATACTTCCTTTCATTATTTAAAAAAAATCACACTATCTATCAAAATAGAGAGCAACATGACATAGTGGATAGAAAGCCAGCCTCAGAGATAAGTATTGCCTCCCATACATCCTAGCTGTGTGATTATGGGAAATCACGTAATCTCGCAGTGTTTTAGGTGACTCTGTAAGACCTGCATTAGTAGATGAAGTTTCTCAACTCCAACTCAAGCTCCCTATACCAATGAAATCACAGACCCCATTCCTATTCTCATCTAAGTAAGCATGAGTCTCATTATCTTCAACCTTTTTTTTTTATCTCCAATTAATCCAGTTTTGGCAATAATCTCACCATGGACCATCTCCCTGAAATTATGTTTACCAGTCTAATTTTTTAAAATAAAAGGTTATGTATGAACGTGCATATACACAAATATATGTATAATGAGACTGCATGCTATAGTAGAATGAATATAAACACGGCCAGTAAGTAGAAGACATAGTTTCAAATTCCAACGATGCCACTAATTAACTGTGTGATTTTGCGCAAGTCACTACTTCTTTGGATGTCAGTTCTCTTTCCTATAAAATGAAGAAATCAAACTGAATGGCTTGTAAAGTCTCTTTCAGTTCAAAAATATGATGATTCTTCGCTGTGCTCTGGGGTCATGTATGTGTAGGTGTTCACCTACTGAAACTTAAAACTGTTGGTATAACATTAAGGTTGAAAAATGAAAGTGAATGAAATTCAACCCTGGGGGTCTTTACCTCCTACAGTCTTCCCTCTTCCTTGATTTTCTTACAATTCCTTTTCACATCCTAGGAATAGTTCATAGATTTATAGTTCATATTTCATGCCTCTAGAGATGAAAGGGAATTTAGAATCTCCTCATTTTATAGATAAGATGCCCAGGGAGTTAAGTGACTTGCCCAACATCCACAGGGTTTGTTTTTTTTTTCTAATTCAACCCATTCTTATCAGTATGCTTAGTAAATACAAGGAAGACTTTGTGTGAGGCACTGGGGATAGAAAGTCAAAACAACAATCATGGTTCTCAAGTTTACATTCAATTGGGGGATATGACACATAAACAGATAAACTTATATGTGATCATCTGAAGATAAGGAAGAGAATATTAACAACAAAAAGCATCAGGAAAGGCTTTTTATAGTGGTGTCCTATCACCTGAGTCATGAAGGTATCGGAAGATTCTTAGTGGGACAGATAAGGTAGATATGCCTTCTAGACATAGGAAATAGGCATCCAAAGGCAGGGAGGTAGATGATGAAGCACTGAATTCATGGAAAATGGGCAAGTTTTTGCTATAATATAGAGTGCAGGAAGGGGATAAAAGTTCAATAAATTCAGAAGAGTAGGTTGGAGCCTGCCTGCAATAGCTATAACATTAAGCCTGGAATTCTTTCTTAATATAGGGAACCTAGGGTTTGAGAGGTTAGTGTATTCTTATATAGACCACAAGCTAAATCAGTAATTCTGTCTCTTGATTAGCTATATGGTCATTCATCTCTGAGTTTTTAATCATGTAGACATGGAAAACTTTTTTTCTTCCAAAACATTTTAAAACCAGTCTACTCATCATGATAACACATGCCCCATACCTACATTTCCCTTCCAAGGTTCTGGATCTGTCTGTTACAGGAAGTGATGTAAATAATGAATATGGAGTCTAGAAGTCAAGGGTAAATATCATAGTAAATTTTTATTTTTATATAATGCTGCAGAGCAATGAGGGAGGCAGGCACAAAATCACTACCATAAATGAATAGGTTCTCACGGGAAAATTAAATTCCCTAGAGTTATAAAATGTGGGAAGGATTTCCAATTTTAAGAGAATTCATTTTTTTCTATGTTGAACATATGATTTTCTGCTTTTATGCTCAAGCGAGGGCGTGGACAAGTTGGATAGGCATGGATAGGTTGCAATCAGCAACATAGGAAAGAACATCCAAATGGGTGAGATCACAGATCCACCTGAGGCTATTATTATTTTTGAGAATCAGTAGGACATAGGGGATAGGGCACAGGAAGACTACCTCAAGCATTACTAATTGTGTCTTCCTGCTTACTTCACTGTCCTTTGGTTTCCTCTTCTACAAAATGGGTGGAGGAAGTGACATAGGGAGAGGAGAGACCTCTAAGATACCTAGCTTTAAGCCTATGATATTATCATCGTTATCTTTGACTAACTGACCAAAATCCATTATATTTTAATTTAATATGTAAATATGGAGAAGGAAATGATGCAGGTGAAAGTGCTCTGTCACCTACAAATGACCATAATCCAATGTAAAATTTGTAGGTGACAGAGCACTGTCATCTGTATCTTTTCCTTTTCTATCCTTACATATTAAATTAAAATGTAGTGGATTTTAGTCAGTGAAGCATTGTCATTTGATGCCCGTTTCAGTTATAGAAAAATAAGATAGGGGAAGGTGATGATGAATCAGAACAGGCCACTAAAGGCAAACAGTTATTTTTAAGGTGACTTCTTTCCACCACAAAAACCCTTCTTCTCTGGCAGAGAATGACTGTAACCCTAAGGGGAAGGAAGTCCCTGGGGAAGCTGCTGCCTCTGCAGATAGATAGCTCAACTCTAGGGAGGCTACACAGTCTTCAGACAAGCAACTGACCCCTAGGGAAGGAGACCAATTGTATAGAGGGAACGCAGGTTGCTCAAAAGCAAGGCATTAAGCTTCTCCTTGTTGGTGGGAAAGGAAAAAAAAATATTCAGCAAGTTTTGCAGCAGATTCTGTCAGTTAAAGGAGACTTAGAAAGTAAAACTATTGTTCTAAGAGAAATAAACATTTCTAACAAATATAATAAAACACAAGTCATTCTTTTGATCTCTAATCCTCACTGCTTGGTCTTGGCTTCCAGTGGCTAGTGATCAACATTCTGGTGGCCATTAATAACATTCTTCCACAATACAAACGGGTATTTATAAAGCACTTTAAGACTTGCAAAATGGTTTGCATACATTATCTCAATCTGGGTCTCACAACCAACCTGTGAGGTAGGTACCTCAGGCATTATCACTGAGGCTCAGTAAAATGTTTTCCTTGTGGTTGTATAAGTAGTCAGGGATGCGTGATTTGAACGCAGCACAAGCCTCCTTGGAGAGGTGAGGGAAAGGACTATAGTTAATGGGGCAGGTGTGGCCAAGGAGGGTTTTTGATGATGTAGGAGATATGGATATGTTTGTAGGCAACAGGGAAACAGTCAGAAGACAGGGAGAGACTGAAGAAAAGGGAGAGAGTGGAGATGTTAGAGGGGGGCAATCTGTTGGAAGAGAAGGGATAAAATGGGCTCACTTTGCATGTGGAAGGGTTTGCTTTGGCCAGGAGAGGGGTGACCTATTCACATAAGATGGGAGTGAAGAGGAAACAGTGGAAGAAGGCATCTCAGTGATGTGAGATAAGAAGGAAAGAAGGTGCAGTTCTCTGAAAATAGCCTCAATTTATTAAATAAAATATGAGTCAAAGTTCTCAGCTGAGAGAGTGGGGGCAGGGGAAAATTTGAGAAGGGATGAAAAGGTTTAGAAGAGCTGTGATGGTGAATGGGATAGTGAGTTAATTAGAGAGCTATAAAAGCATTGCTCTGCAGTGGTGAGGGCTCAGTTGAGGTCATGTAACATTAATTTGTAGTGAACCCAGACAGCATGGTTTCATGATTTTCTCCACCTTTGTTCAGCCACATGTGAGCCTTCAGGAGTGAAGGCAATGGATGGTGAGAGTGAAAAAAGGGAATAATAATGCCTAAAGGAACAATCTCACGGGGTCATTATGAAAGTCAAACAAGATAATATATGTAAACCATTCTATGAAATTTAAAGTACCACATAAATATCAGATATGATTACTATTGAATATTCTGGAGGATGTTTTTTGGTTCTTTTATTTTTTTTTGCCGCTCTAAGTGCCACACAGAGTCTGATCTTCTATCCTGCTTTCTAATCACATTACCAGCCTACATCCTTTTCTGGAGGGTTTTAGGAGTCAGCTAGGTGGTGCAGTGGGTTGAGTCCTGGACTTGGATTTAAGAAGATCTGAGTTCAAATTTGGCCTCAGATGCTTTCATTTTACAAAGGACCAAATTGAGGGCCAAAAAGGAGAAGTTATTTGTCTAATTAGTTACTACCAATAAGTAGTAAATTGAAGAAATGAGTTTTAACCCAGTTGTTTGGATTCAAAATTTACTGATTTTTCTACTCTACCCTGTTGTCTTCCATTAGTTATTCTCTTTATGTATACATACTTTCCAGAATTCCCCTTTGGGTTTGGTTTTAATTTT